TACTCTATAGCGATGAAATCCTTTGATAATATTTAATCAAAAGGGAATGTTTTTCTCAACATGTATGAAGAAACATTCAAATTTCAGGGACTTTTCATTAAAACGATGTAAAGAAGCTGTCCGTCGTAACCAGCGCACTAATAGGATTTGGCGCACACTTTGTACTCAAACACTTTGTTTCATTTTCAGATCATGTTGTGGATGTCAAACTCTGCCCTTCTGTTGTCCTGCCTTCAAATAGCATCAGGAGTGAGGCTGGATGATCATTTACTGGTCGGCCCGCCTGCAAACCGGGCGCTTCGCCTCGACCTAAGGCCCGCTCGCCAGCTGGACGGAACTGACCGAAACCGGATGCCCATATGGGACTGCAGTGACCTACCCTACGGCACCGCGAGCGGCGTCTACTCCATCCTGGAGGGCGCCGGCGGCCCTCCCGTGTGGGCCTACTGCGACTTCAGCGATCCCGCCGGCTGGACGGTGCTTCAGCGGCGACAGGACAACCCCATGCAGCTCAGCTTCGCGCGCCAGTACGACGACTACCGCTACGGCTTCGGCCAGCTGAACTCGGAGTTCTGGTGGGGCCTGGAGTACATGTGGCTCATCACCTCTCGGCACGACCGCGTCTACGAGCTGAAGATCGAGCTCGGCGACTGGGTCGGCGCCACGCGATACGCTCTGTACGGCCAGTTCAGCGTCTCTTCACACGAGGGCCGGTTCCGACTGTATGCCGCAAACTACTCTGGTGATGCCGGCGATTCGCTCAGCTACCACAGCGGTATGCAGTTCAGCACAGATGACGAGGACAACGACCTTTGGTCTGCAAACTGCGGTGAGGTCTATGCAGCCGGCTGGTGGTTCAACAACTGCCATGAGAGCAACTTGAACGGCATCTACTACGGCAACAATAATCCGACTAGCGGCAAAGATGGGGTCGTCTGGTACGCCTGGCACGGGTTCTACTACTCGCTAAAGGACGCTGTAATGATGATACGTCCCAGGGTGAAACTGACGTAGGAAATGAGTGGGATTGGTCCGGCAAACATTTACATATTGATGCACATTGCACACCGCACGGGATACATGAGGTTCTAGGCATTGGAGGACGATATATATATACTGTAGGTAACTTTCTGGTCCCGTCCACATCCAACGGCCGGAGACCGGCGCATCTATGAATGTTGGGTATATGTATAGTTTTGGCTTAGGTAAATGTGCTGTTGTTTCCATTGTCCTACTCTTATTGTCGCCTCGGTCTAATAAATACTTTCTGTGCTTGTATTGTTGTCGTTGCTGTCTGAGAGGAAACAAGCATTGTAGGGTTTAAATGTGCCCTAGCTTATTAATCCGTGCCCCGTGGGGGAGGGAGGGGGGGGGGGGGCGAAAGCGCCTCCCTCACATTTTCTGTCGATATCAGCTCCTCAAGAATGGCAGATATTGTCATTAAACTTTCAGGACCTTCTCTGGGCATCAATTTTACACCTTGCGGCTAAACATGTCTATAAACTAGACGATGATAGGTTGGCTGCAAATGACGTCAGATAACGTCATCTGCCACTTTCGAGAAAAACAAAAATATGCGGAAGAGCTGGCATGCCTACAGTTTTGAAGATAAAAAAAAACAATGTCCGAATGCAAAAAGGGTGTAGTACCGCGCACCGACGAGGGTCCGCACCAACTTAGAACCGACGGGGTCCGGGTATCCGCCTGACCTGAGATCTCGAGAACGAAGCAAGATAGCGGCAAGCGGTAAACGGCATGGGGTACGCACGGACAAGGTCAACAATTTTTTGAAGGTCATTTTCAGGTCAGGCCATAGATGACGTCACAGTGGTCAAGTAAAAGATGACGTCCCAGGGGTCCAACTCAAAATTGTGAGGCAAGATTTGAAGGCAATAATGAAGCAAGATTTTTCTCGAATAACTTTCGAAGTAGCTAAGCTAGAAACAAACTAATGGCATCATCGTGATCCTCTCGTCAATCTGCATCGAACCATATATGTGTTGACCTCGAAAAGTCCAGGTGAAAGGTTGACCTCAGGTCACGTGACCTCAAGGTCATCATATATATCATTCGATGCGCCTTGACGAGCTGAGCACAATGAGACCATCCGCGCGGCTGTATCTCGTTATGTAAGAAGTTATTAGCAAAAAATGGTGGCCCTTGATGACGTCACATGACCTAAGAGTTGCCCAAGAGCAAAAAAGGCCTTAATGTAGTCAAGTTTGATCGTATATGAAGTCACCCATGGTATATTGGGCCATTCTGACGCGTTCTAGTGGAAAAACAGGGGGTCGATTTTCTCCCCATTGACTATAATGGGGAGTCAAGAAATTGCCCTGACCTAAGGTCATCGACATCAAAATTCCGAGAGATCAGAATTGTAGCTACCAACGGCCTTATTACATCCTGCAACTTTCAAAGACCTCCGTCATCTACTGTAGCTCTGACACGGTGACAAAGTTGCAAAAAGTGATGAGAGGCTGGGTCATTCGAAATAACCTGGTGACCTGACCTTCAAAGGTAGGAGATTCAAACTTGCACATCATGTGTACAATTGATGACGGAAAAGTCATGCTAAATTTCGTGTACGCGCCGTGGTTTTTCCGCTATTTATGAAAAACCTCAGGGGGCGGTTAACCGCCCCCCCCCCCCCCGTCGGTGTGCGGGTTAACGATGCAATAGAACTGCTATCTGGGACTTTTAACATTTTGCATTTGGTCCACAAAAATAAGAATGTTTTATAGTTTCCTATACATACAAAAAAAAATGAAGACAAAAATGCAGAATATATCTTACACAACATAAGTAATCCATCGACATCACATACCTATTTTCAGATCGATAGCTCCAGTTTTGGCAAACTTATATCGAAAAGCTGTTCAAAATTGGTGACATCAACTTGTCACTCAATTTTTAGCTATTCTAGACCACCTAGCGTAAAACTAACACCACCATTGGATTCCCCGTGGCGAGCTGCATCCAGCATCGAATCAATACATTTTTATACAAAAATACTACTTTTGAAATTGGACGTTCTTTACCTGATCTTGACCTGACCTTGACCAGAGTGTATCCTAAACCGGTGCCAATGGTCGCTTAACCCACATAGTTAATACAATTTGAAACATAAAATTGACCTTAAAACATGTATCACACTACCCTTGTACAGTTGGGTTCATATTGTGACCCTTAGCGACCTGACCTGTGACTTAGCCTATAATTATCATTGACCACGTTTAGCAGCACATGTATTAAAGGGACCCTCCCACCTTCAAAAAAGTTAATGAATTGGCATGAAAGTGATGTCGCTTGGTTCAGAAAGAACGGCAACAAAGTTCTACCAAATTCCACCGAAATATATTCACCGGTTTTCAAGATATTAGCCTTTTACTTTTGCTTACTTTTTGGGAGCTCGCTGTTCCTATAGTGACTTTTTCTGGAAGCAATAGTTTGGCAGCTGATAGTGCGGCACTCGTTGCGCGCAAAGCAGCATATACCACCACGTGCTACCAAACGTTTTTGTAAAATATTCAAAATCGTTAGATCTGCGTTTACGTAACAAATTCAGAGAAGGCATCCAAATGCATTAGCCCCTCTGAATCCACAGTGCTGTAGCTTTGAAATTATACATATATATTCGATTTGAGGCATTTCTGGATGTTTTGAGTGCTCAAACCGGTAAGTGTAAGCCAGGGACCCCATTTTGGCTATCTCAACTCAAAACTAATGTTAAGGTGGGATGGTCACTTTAATCAAATAACACTCTATCGATGATTTTCGATGACATGTCTTTTTCTCGATGTTGTAACAGTTGGTCTTCGGTGGAAGCTATTGAGCACCGTTTGAATTGTAAGCGTCTCCGAAATTTTAAGGGGGCCGAAACGCACCCCCCCCCCCCCTACGGGCGGCAGGGTTCGGGAATAGCCCAACTGGGTGCGGGTTAAAATTCGGTGGCTTAGCCTGACCTGAAAATAGAGTTGGTGTCAAAAGATCCGGCCTGAACGGTCTGAACTTATGTTCAAGAACTATGAATGGATGAAGGCTGGGTATTGCACTAGTCATGCTATGAGTGCTAACTTATGAAAAACTCTCTAAAGCTAAGGCGGGATGGCTCCCTCCTCGGTTAGGGAGGTTATATTTTTGGGCGACGTACTTCTCTTCTCCAGAAAAACTCTGCCTTTGGTAAATGACATCGCTCATCGGACACCGAACGTGCATGACCAGTGACCACTTCTACATCTCCAGAACGGTTCGGTGGATTGCACTTAAAGGGACCCTCCCACCTTCAAAAAAGTTAATGAATTGGCATGAAAGTGATGTCCCTTGGTTCAGAAAGAGCGAAAACGAATATCTGCCAAATTTCACCGAAAAATATTCACTGGTTTTCAAGATATTAGGCTTTTACTTTTGTTTACTTTTTGGGATCTCCCCTGTTACTAGCGATTTTATTTGGAAGCAATAATTTGGCAGCCTTATAGTGCGGCAGACGTTGCGCGCAAAGCAGCGTATACCACCACGTGTTAACGATGGTTTTAGTCTAAGATTAAAAATCGTTAGATCTCCGCTGACGTCACAAATTCTAAGGAGGCATTCCAATGCATTAGCCCCTTAGAATCCGAAAACTGCAAGTTTGAAATTCCTTATCTTCGAATTAAAGCATTTTTCGATGTTATGAGTGCCCAAACCGGTATTTGCAGGCCATGGCCACCAATTTGGCTATCTCAACTCAAAACTAATGTTAAGGTGGGAGTGTCCCTTTAAATTTGTGCACGGTCAGGAACTGCGATCACTAGGATGGCCCGTATCACTTATGTAGTCGGGGTTTTTGAGTGCCTGCCTTGTGACGACCTTGCAGGGCGCCGCTTGATACAACTCACGACCGGTTAGACTACTCGACTTCAAACACCATTAGTGCGCTGATAGAGGTGTAATCTTATGAACGAAATACAAATGCAAACTTTGAACAAAAATACATCAATTTTGGATAGATAGAAGGCATATATCCCATCAAAAATATATTGCAATACAGCAAGACAACGTTTAGAGGACAATCAAAGCAAAAGCCGACATTTCCACAAATATCCACCTGACTTCAGAGGTAAGCGAGTCATGAGGCATAGCATGTGAAAAAAAAACGATAAGCTGGGGAATCGTTCGCTCAAAACTTTTAACCTTATGTATCCCGTGCAGAATGCATCAGCACTCACTGTCTGAACATCTGACGTGCATTTCCTACGTCAGTTTCACCCTGGGACGTATCTTCATCACCACATCCTTCAGCGAGTAGTAGAACCCGTGCCAGGCCGACCAGACGACCCCTTTCTGGTCGGCTGTCGGGTTGTTATTGCCGTAGTAAATGCCGTTCAAGTTGCTCTCATGGCAACTACGGTACCACCAACCGGACGTGTAGATTCCGCCACAGTTGCTGGCACTATTCGAGTCGTTGTCCTCATCTTCTGTGCTGAACTGCATGTCGCTGTGATAAGTGAGCGAATCGCCGGCATCACCAGAGTAGTTGGTGGCATACAGCCGGAACCGGCCCTCGTGTGAAGAGACGCTGAACTGGCCGTACAGAGCGTATCGCGTGGCGCCGACCCAGTCGCCGAGCTCGATCTTCAGCTCGTAGACGCGGTCGTGCCGAGAGGTGATGAGCCACATGTACTCCAGGCCCCACCAGAACTCCGAGTTCAGCTGGCCGAAGCCGTAGCGGTAGTCGTCGTACTGGCGCGCGAAGCTGAGCTGCGTGGGGTTGTCCTGTCGCCGCTGAAGCACCGTCCAGCCGGCGGGGTCGCTGAAGTCGCAGTAGGCCCACACGGGAGGGCCGCCGGCGCCCTCCAGGATGGAGTAGACGCCGCTCGGGGTGCCGAAGGGTAGGTCACTGCAGTCCCACACAGGTAGGCGGCTCGTATCGCCATTCTCGGACCTACGAGCGGTGCTGGGCTCGAGGCGGAACGACCGGCTGCGAGGCGCGTCGCCCGATTGAGAAGCATGCAGCCTCATAGCTGATGCCATTTGAAGGCTCAGCAACAGCAGTGCAGAGTATGAAGACATCGTCTGAAATGGCAAAGCAAGCGAATGCATTGGTAAGTTAGAACGATATAAAAAAGGAAATGAAATGGCTACGCGGTTCCTTGCTGACCGTTCAAAGAAGCATTCCACATTTTGCGGAGCTTTTCTTAAGCATGTAAATTGAAGCATGTGTTGATATGCCATGTCCTAGGTAAGGTGTTACGGACATTTTACGCTTTAAAATTGTGCTTATCTCTAAAAACAAAGTCTAAAAACAAAGTATTTACACTCATTTGCGTTCGCTCTAATCAAGCAAGCGAGAAAGCTGTTTACCTACAAGTTCCTTGCCCGGAATGCTCTTGACGCCAGGCGAATGACGCTGAAAAAGGAGTGCTTGCGACGCCTGTTTTGGCGACAGCTCAATCCCTGAACTTCTTAGATTTACAGAGCACTTATTAAGGTACCCTCGCTGTTTGGCAGAGTCGGCATGAGCCACCGGCCCAGGGGTATAAGTACCTCCACGTGGCACCTGTTGACGCAATCTCGCGATGACAGCCCCCGAAGTCTCGATCACGCAATTCAGAACAAATTTCTGCAGACACGGAAGATGCATGCTTCCCGTCTGATAGCGCATGTCCTGGCACCATGCATCATTTGGAGGACTGACAGGATCTCAACAAGTGTGCCAAGATCGCCACCAGCTGACCAGATTTGTCTTCTTTGTTACTGAGACATATAATTATCGCGCTTCGAGGTGATCAGTCAGAAATGAGAAATGACGTATTTCGGCCAAAATTAGAACGAGGGAGGGACTGTTTTAACTTTTCAAAAACTAATCGAATGGTGACAATACAAGAATAACAGTTGCGTTTGAGAAATCCAAGTGTTCAGTTAAATGCGCTATATGTAGGTATAGGCAAAACAGGAGTAGTCAGAGATTTTGAGTTAGAAATTCAAATGTTATCATAACAGCTCAACTTAACTGCATACCATCATGAACATATCACGCGGAGTCGTGCAAAATAGCCCTAAAATTAAACATTTTGCGTCTTATAGGAAGCTGAATGCCCTTTAGTGCGTAAAGGGATAGGATAGCACCCTTCTGTGGGATGACTTATTATTGCCGTATATATCCGTGCTTTGGCGTGAGAATATAACAATTTTCTAGCATTACAATGTTAAATTATGTAGTCAAAATTTCAATTAATTTTGTGATTTAGTTGTGTAGCGTACCTTGAGTAATGAAAGTGATGTTCTTTACACTATTCCCCTTCCCACTATTGTGAATAAAATCTGGGTCCATCGTTTTGTGAACCTCGCCAAGACAAGTACATTATCCCGGAGCATTCATTATACTTCCAATACGACGCCAAAAGTAAATCACGAAAACCCTGACAGTTCCATTTGACGGTTCAGATGAGCAGGTGTCAAATACACGGAATTTCCGCCCGGTGTCGCCGCTTTTTTTCTCTCTAAGCGCAACTGTCGACCGCGTGGGGCAGGTCGCCCCGAACACAGCAAGAACATGCAGTCGATATCTGTCAGACACGTCCCGCGAATCACTTCAGGAATCAGTTCAGCACTCAAACAATGGACCTGGAGCTGCCGTTCGCAGCTTTTCGGGACGATCAGCACCCCGCGCGGCGTGTAAGGCCCGCACGCGCACACCTGTGCTATTGTCTGAGCCGTGTCAGCGGATTGCGCATCCACCTGGGTCTCTGCGTCACCCGACTGCTGCACCACTTCTGCTGACTTTAGGCGTTTGATACGGCCCCGACGTCCCGGTATAAAAGTGCTCTGGTCGGTAGGAACGGTGTCTTGTCTTCGTTCGAGAGCAGCCATCCACTATCCGTACAGCCATGAAGGTGTTGTCTGTGCTGCTGCTCTTGGCGCTGGTGGCGGCGGTCGCCGTTGGAAGACCAAACGACGTTCTGGACAGCCCGGCAGTACGTCAGTCCAGCTCGGACTCGTCTGGTGACTCGGGCAGCTCGGACAGCTCCGAGACTGAGGTCTCCGGTGACTCCAGCTCCAGCGGAGGGTACGGATCGAGCAGCTCTGAATCGGAAGGCTCCGGCAATCCGTGGACGTCGGGCTCGTACGGACCCGGCTATCCAGGGGTAGGCCCCAACAACCCTGGCCTCGGCCTCGGCAACCGTGACGGCTCCGGAGATTCCGGCAGCGACTCCAGCGAGTCCAGCGAGTCTGGCAGCGACTCCGGTGAATCCGACAGCGATTCTGGTGAATCTGACAGCGATTCTGACAGCGATTGACAAGGGATCTGACAGGAATCCTTCTGGTAAAGCGACTGTTGTTCTTATGCAAATCAGCACAAGCCGCAAATGAGCGGCGACGCAGGGGAAACCATTAACCGTGGTAGGAAACCACCGACATGCCTTGTCCCAGTGACGTATTTTGTGGGCATCGCATAGATGCCTGAATGTTACATTCTAATACTGTCATGGAATCAACGAGCTCCTGCTAGTAGTGCTTCTTCAATCATTTACTATATAAGGTTGAGGTCTTTTCATGTTCAACCGGCTGTCGAACGGTTCAGGGTGTTTCACTGTTACATGTGTTTCGATTTGTGTGAGGGATAATAAATGGTTAGCTTACGCATAACACTTACGGTAAACGAACAAGCCCCTATCGATTCTTTTTAGCTGCTATGACCATAATTCTTTTTAATCAGTGGATTTCTCTTAATTAAAGCTTAGTGACACAGTTCGACTCGAAAACCAGTAAAAACGCTCTTTTTGCGCCTTGTTGTGACTCCTGAGCATTGGATTGGAAGGCGGTCGAATTTGGCGGTCTTTAACATGTTTTGAATTGGTATGCGACCTTACCCGAGTAAAAACCAATTATTTTACACTAACAACCCAAGCAGCACGGCAGTCGGCACATCACGATACCACATTCTACGAGAACCAGCTGAAGTACTTATAGCATCTTTCCCATGCACACCACGTAGATGCGGGACAAGCACGGAGTGAGATGCTGCTACTTCGGTACCGCCAAGCTCTTGAAAGGCAGAGCTGTGAGGCACCAGGTTCCTCTGAGATGGGACTAAAGGCTCTGTAAGCCCCCGCCTCAACGGAGACACGCAATGCTTCTCGATGCGCTAGACGTAAGGCGATCGTTTTCATAGACAGTGTGGGGTAAAAGCAGGCAAGGTCCAGACGGACGCGATTTGGAAATGCAAAAGGCTTGCGCTTATGGAGAAGCCTACCTATTTATTCGTAATTCGAAATTTATTTTAAAAATGGCACAGTTTCTCATGTCCGCGCGGCAGACCTTCTGCACAACGCAGCCTCAATTAGGCGTGACCTCATCGATAAGGGCTGGCAAAATGGACCACTGGCAATATTTTGCCCCTGGAGTCTGGAGCCATCCTGATTATTTACCAAATCCGACCAATCCTGGCGAGTGCAGGTGCCGATTTTTATCACTGATAAGTCGAGGATAAATGTTTTATTTTACAACCATTGTTACCAAATAGTTCCAATTAAAATGCCAGAGGTTATACCTCCAAGAGACCAGGGCATCACTGGCGAAGTTCAAGTTCACCAATCAGAACCCGTCTGTTTTAGGTGCCAGTGAAGGTCACCTTGAGGACACCACACTCAGAACATGTCTGACTCGGTTGTCGTGACTGCTAACGACCGCAGTCAGATTGTTGTTGGGTTATGTATTGTTATGTGTGGCTGTGTTATGCGCTGCGTGGCCGGGGTGAGGCGTCCCTCTCGGCGCGCTGCTGGGTGCGCCTCTGCGGGCCGCCTCCCGCTGGGCGCGCCGCTGCCACCGGCGGCGTGGGGTCACGGCCGCAGCCGGGGGCGGCGGTCATTCTGGACCGGGGAGCCGCCACGCGCGGGTGCTGCCGCTGGTGCTGCTGCTGCTGGTGCAATGCCTGTATTGAGCACCAATACACGACTGATGGATACGCTGCCTGTGGCCTAACATTGGCGCGGTCAAGGTAAGCTCATTTACGCTCCCTACTTTTGAGTTATGCTTATTTAAACAATAACCGTTTTAGCAGCTCTTATGCTATCGATTTACGATAGATGAGCTCTTAGCCTACGACCTGAAATTTGGAAAAGGTGCAGTCGTTCTCGACCCAGATTTTGTTGATTTCAGGTCGATTATGTTAGGCAAATATTAAATCACGCTGAGGCACTGGCAGCGCCTACAGCTCATAAAGCACAGATAGCGTGGTCGTTTAAGACACGATTTTCAAATTATCTGGTTTTGTCATTGCATAACGTATCGTTGGGCGATACGATCATAGGGCTATATAGCGTTGTCGTTGCACGACACGATTTTCAAATTACCCGTTGGTCATTGCATACCGTATCGTTGGACGATACGATCATATTTATTAGTCGTCGATCATACACCGCCCAAAATGGCGAGTGAACTGTACTTAAAAATTCACAGCACAACAAAATTTAGCGGTCGCAAGGAGGAAAATTGGGAAACGTGGATTTTCCGTTTTGAGACGCGTTTTGGCGACTTGGAGGGGGCAAAACTAGCAGCTGCCCTGCTCGACTTGCTGGATGGTGCTGCTTTGGACATTTGCGGGAACTTGGACAAAAGAGCCAGGAGCGACTACAGGGAACTTAAGGGGGTCCTACAAGAGAAATTTGGATCTAGTTGCGACACGCGACGGGCTCGGGCTCAGTTGCGTCTTATCCGTCAACTGCCTGAAGAGAATATAGAGTTATTCGCGGATCGCGTCCGAAAACTTACAAATCTGGCACACCCGGGGTTATCCAGTGAACAGGTGGATCATATAGCGCTAGATCACTTCCTGTGTGGTCTGAGCGATCTTAAGCTTCAAGAGAAGCTGCACAATGACCACACTGTGCTGTCGCTTCAAAAAGCGGAGGAAGTTGTCCAGAGACTTTGGGAAAAGGACCTCACTCTCGCCGTTATGCGGGCGTCCGCCGGTCATGACACGGCTGTGGCAATTTCGTCTGAAGAAGCGCAATCCATCGAGGGTGGACAGGCACCAGGTATTTTGACCATTCTTGGAGAACTCCGGAGTGAGTTGAATGAAATGAAAGTCCAGCTGACCGAGCACCGCAAACCGACCGGCAGTAGACGAGGCGTTTGTTACCTGTGTGGCGATACCGCCCACTTCAAACGTGATTGTCCGCAGTTTTCAAACCGACTTAAACGGACAGCACGAGCCGCTACCCCGAGGGCAAAACTGAGCGCGATTCCGCCCGGTATTCCCTGCCAGGGTTGTGGACGGTACGGGCACGCGTTACCCGAATGCTGGAGAACGCCAGTCGCAGCAGGGGGCATCGCTCCCTCGAGCCCCGCACGCGACATATCTGGCGCTGTGGAGAATACTCCGGCAATGCCGGGGCAAGAACCAAACACCAAGCGCGCTTCTGTCATCAAAATCGAAGTCGAAGGGCGCAGCGTATGGGCCCTGGTTGATTCTGGAGCCGACGCATCAATGATCGGACAAGAATTCGCCCAGACGGTCGTACCGAAACACTCGTCCCGCAGAGGGCATTTTGGAGCAATAACTCAGGCGGGTGGGCAGAGAATACAGGTCACTACACAGGCAGAAGTGTCATTCTCCATACAGGCTTTGCAATTCATCCAGCCTATGCTGGTAATTCCAGGTCTGATTTACCAAGTCGTTCTCGGCCGAGACTTCTGCTGCCAGCACAAAACAGTGCTAGACGACAAGGCAGGGGTCTTCAGGGTCGGCAGCCTGGAGATTCCACTCCCGACATACGCAGAGCTACGACCCCAGCGCGCCAGGGTACTAACATGCTCGCCTGTTACAATACCGGCAAAGTCTCAGACGCTCGTTCAGGTCGACGTCGAGATTCCAGACGGTGGTGTCAAAGTCACCAAGGAAGTCAATTGGCAAGGGGTGCTCGAGCCACAGCCCGTGGGGAACGAGCAAGAATGGAGAATCCCTCGCGTGGTCACCGCGGTGACGAGCGAAGCCAAGGTCCCGGTTCAAATCGCAAACATCGGGAGTGAGGCAATCACGATCCCTCCAGGTACAGAGATAGGACTTTTGTACTCAATCCAGGAGAATGGGAGAGGTATTTACGACATTCCAGACACATCGGTTGCTTCAGCCGCAGTCGACGAGGGGACGATCGATGAACTCATGAAGGAGCTCAAACTGGAGTCAGCGGTGCTCTCAAAAACGGGAAAGGCTTCATTAAGGCAGCTAGTGATGGAGTTCAGTGATGTTTTTAGCAAAGGCGAAGCAGACATCGGAAAAACGACTCTCCTTCAACATCAGATCAAAACTGGCGATGCACCGCCAGTACGTCAACGGCCACGACGAATCCCAGTAAAGCTGAGAGAGGAGGTGGAACGACAAAAAGAAAAGATGCTTGAAGAAGGGATCATTGAAGAAAGTTCCAGCCCTTGGTGCTCACCAATTGTCCTGGCGAAAAAGAAAGACGGCAGTTTCAGGTTCTGCATCGATCTCCGAGCAGTGAACTCCGTCACACAAAGCTTGCCAGTCCCCTTGCCGAGGGTGGACGAGAGCCTCGACAGCCTCGCCGAAGCAAAATTTTTCTCAACTCTCGACATGGCGTCAGGTTACTGGCAGGTTGACGTCGCCGAGAAGGACAGGGAAAAGACTGCCTTCAGCACAGGAAAAGGTCTCCACCACTTCCGAGCGATGCCGTTCGGCCTGAAGAACGCAGGAGCGACGTTCCAGCGGCTGATGGAGCTGGTGCTGGCTGGAATGGACTCCAAGAGCTGCCTCGTCTATATCGACGACATAATCGTGTTTGGAGAGAGCGAACGAGAACATCTAAAGAACCTGGAGGAAGTATTTCAAAGGATAAGAGCAGCAGGAATGAAGCTAAAGCCAAGGAAGTGCTGCTTGGCTCGAGACGAGGTGGTGTTCCTCGGACACAAGGTGGGAAGGAGAGGCGTCGAACCAGACCCAGCCAACATAGAGAAGGTGCGCAATTGGACTAGACCGCGAAAAGCAGAAGATCTAAAGAGCTTCCTGGGACTGGCAGGATACTACTCCAGGTTCGTTCCAAACTATTCCGACCTGGTGCGTCCAATCCGAGAAGCCGCAGAAAAGAAAGGTGACCTCGAGTGGACTGACGAGCTCAGAGAAAGCTTCGATAACATCAAGACACAGCTGACGTCTCCTCCAATCCTGACTCTGCCGACATTTAAAGGGGAGTTCAGGCTCGCAACTGACGCCTCAAACACTGCGGTGGGAGCTGTTCTCACAGAGATGGTCGATGACGAAGAGAGAGTCGTCGCGTAT